CTCCTCCCCCTTTCCTTCTTCCCTGACCTCCCGTCTCCAGAACTGCTTCTGGTAGACTACACACTTCACCAGGCTGTCCCATCCCCCCTCCCCTTTGCACACGGCCAGTTCCTCCTTCTTCTTGTTCCTTTTTCTTCTGCTCTCTCTTAGACCTCTGCTGTCCCTGTGGGGATGGTTATGTGGTCCCCTAGATGCTTCTCCATCACCTTGTTTCCCCAATCATATCTCTCGTTGCCTGCAATCAAAATGCCCCGTTAACTGTCTGTATCTACACTAAGCCTGGTGGAGATGGCAACAGCTGCCTGCCATATTTCCCCTATTATTCAGCAGCAGCTCAATAAACGGTTGTTTAATAAGTGAAATAAATAGGCAAGTGTTGGAAAAGGAGTCAACTTTACGGGAGTATTTTTTTAATTTTTGTTTTAAATAGAAACAAGTTCTCACTATGTTGCCGAGCCTAGTCTCAAACTCCTGGACTCAGGGAATCACCTTGGCCTCCCAAAATGCTGTGATTACAGGCAGGAGCCAAAACTGTATTTATAGACAATGTATATACACATGCATGCTTTGCTACATTTTTTGTTGGTTGTTACATTTTACATTTCTATAACCATATGTACAGACAAGTCATCTTTGCTCCCATGAACATTTGTCATGAAACATTCTATTGTGTGTTACAGACTTTCAGAAGCCTGGACAGAGGATCCTGCCTATTCTTTCCTTTTTCTTTTTTCTTTTTTCTTTTTTCTTTTTTTTGAGCTGGAGTCTCACTCTGTCGCCCAGGCGGGAGTGGCACACTCACCTGCCTCGACCTGCTGGGCTCAGGCAATTCTTCTGCTTCAGCTTTCTGAGTAGCTGGAACTACAGGTGTGCTCCACTACACCTGGCTAATTTTTTGATTTACTGTAGAGACGAGATCTCGCCAAGTTGCCCAAGCTATTCTCGAACCCCTGGTCTCAGGGAGTCCTCTCACCTCCGCCTCCCAAAGTGCCGGGATTACAGGCTTAAGACACCGCGCCCGGCTATCCTGACTATTCTTTTTTTTTT